CTCTCCTGGAGCAAAGCATTCAACCATCCATCCCCTTCCAGGGATCCCATTTTTGTTTTTTCCAAAATGTGTCTTGGAAGCAGCCTGTGAATTGCATCCTGATGGAGCTCTACAGAATTTTGTAGGCTAGGGGCTGTAATACTGTTTTCCCTGAAGTGAACCAAACTGGAAAGCATGTGCTTCCACATATCTGGAGATTTTATCTTCATGCAATTGCAAGACTTTATCATAATGGGATTGGAAACCTTATTTTCGATATTTCTAAAATGTCTATGGTATTATTTAATTATTTATTTTAAGGCTGGCTCCATACTGATTAGATTATTAAAGAGCTGGAATACCCTCAGTAAAAAGGAGTATTCTGGATACAGCTGCATATTCTAAATGTGAGCTGGCTCCTCCAAGAGCCCACTCAGATGTGGATGTGGTCTGTAGCTCACTGATTGTTGAGAGCTAAGTAGTTTTGTCTGTTTGTATATCACTCCTGAGCTGGAATGGACTCTCAGAGCCAAACTTGAAATGCCTTGGATGGTGCTGCAGCTGCCAGACTTTATCCATCTACAGGTAAATGAGAGACCACACAAAAGCTAGTTTTGTTACTTTTAGGGGTGATCTGATGCTGGCATTATTTGAAAAATGTACGGCTTGCTCCTGTGTGACTTCAAATGTATGATTATACACCCTCCTTTGAAGTAAATTTTCCAACATTCTCATGGCATCACGTACCCTGTAAACTAATCTGAGGTTGAGGAGCTGAATTCTGCTAAACAATTTGTATTTTATTCTTTTTATCAAAAAAATTCTGTGAAGTCCCTTCTTGAGGCTTTAATTTTTGCCAATTATGAAGAGTGCATGACTCACAGGGGAGTTACTTAATGCTGTGTTTGTGTGATTACTTGTGACTTGTGAAATTTTAAACTTGCTTTGCCTGTCTACATGAAGTACTTCCTTATTCCTTCTCCTTTTATGGCTGTGTTGCCTTATTAAAGAAAGGAAAAGGCACTGATTTTATACCTGGCCACTGCTTATTAAATGAAAGACTGAAATGCTGCCATACAGTCAAATGTCAGGATTACATCAGAGGCCATCTAAGAAGTGTTCAAATGAAAACAGAGATTTGTATTAAGCTTTTCAGTGTGTTGTAAAAAATGCAGTAGATACAGAACTTAGATGTGATACAGACCTTGTATAGTCTTGGTAAATAAATTCTAATTGGATCTTCTCATCTTATTCCAGAGTCTCAACAGTTATATGAGTACCACTCATGGTTTCTGAAGTGTTTTGACATACTTAGCCCACAAGTGATAGTTTTTATTCTTCTTATGGTTCATTGCTTTCCAAAATGGAGCTGTGTTTGTTACTAGGATATTTTTGTCCAAAATTGGTGTGCCTCACTTCTGCAAGAATCAGGTCCTTCACACATATGCAGATATTTGGAAGGTCTGTGGTGATGAGTGAGGGACTGCTGTGCTCTCTGTCTTACTTTTGGATAATTATGGTGGAGCAGGTACTGGTAGCTGAGTGAATGTCCTCACTCTGCCTCCATCCTTTGGTTAGTGATTTCTTGGGACTATTTTCAGTGTAACACCCAGGTATTCAGAAGGTGTCTGTTTGTGGCAAAATGGAATGACCAGAGGACACCCACTGTGCTTTAGATGTGGTCTTGCATAATACTTGTTGCAGAAAAAATCCACATCCTTCATTCCACCCAGAAGCTTTACAAAATAACATCTGTGCATGCAATCACCTGCTCTAATTTGCTTCTGCTGTTGCAATTGGTACAAAGCACAAAGTCACAGTGCAGACTCAGTGCAAAACAGAAATAATGGAGCCTTCTGTAGTGAATGAAAGAGCTGAATTTGGTCTTTCAGACTATGTTTCTTTTTCTTTTTCTGTGTTCATACCAACTTAGATGATACACTGTTAAAAATGAGATCTATTAAAGCTGGCTGTCATGTCTCTCTGTCTTCCCTTTTTTATTTTTTTTCTAAATCTCATCTTTACTTACTAAATATGCAGCTTAGACTGATTTTTTTTAGGAAAGAGTTTGGTTATTTTCAAAAATGAGACTTGAAAAACCACATTATTTTGCCTGTGCAGGCATCTTCCTTCCTTTCCCCGACCTACTTTCCTCTGCTTAGTCTATGGTCTAGAAAGATGGTGAAGGCATGATGGAGGAGATTTTGTTTTAATGATGTACCTTCTTTCCATGTTTAAAATCTCCTGTAATTTAGTCTTTCCTTGGGGGATGGAGGAGAGGTCACAATTCTGCCCATGTTCAGTGAAGGCTTCTATTTGACATTCAGTTATTCTGAAGGACTGACTCAGTGTTGAGCAGGAAGGTGGTTCAAGAAACTGCATTTTGGGAGTACTGAAAAAAGTAGCTAGGTCTGAGAAGGTGCCAGAACTGCGAGAAGCTCTCTGATCCTGTCATGTACAGCATTTGTGGCTCCTGTGGAAGGAGTCAAATGTCAAGTGAAGGAGAAGTGGTGGGAGTCAAGAAGCCTGCTGTTGGCAGGGAGGTAAGAAAGGACTTCTTGTGGTACTGGGGAGAGACTGAGAGCCAGTGGGAGGAATGGGGACAACGTGAAAAGATGAGGTAACAGAAAACAGCAGCAGAGAACATTCAGGAGGAAGTGGGGACTGGCAACTAATCAGGTAGAAGAAACAGAGGAAGAAGGGAGAGAATTTTATCTGCAAGGAAGTGGTGTGCAGCAGGAAAGTAGGAACTGCACAAATGAAAAACAAGATGAGGGGAAAGTTGGAAGCTGAGCTTGAGTCACAGAGACCAAAGCAGATGAAGATCAGATTGTCTATGATACATTGAAGGTGAAACAGAGTGGTAAGTCAAGACGAGAGCTATGGGAGTGCTGACACTTGATGGTAAAGAAATCAAAGTTTTAAGTTATAAATACTAAGAAATAACTGAAATCTGAGGAGATGTAGCTGTGTGTGCGGTATGATAAAACAGAGGTGCCCAAAGACAGGGATTGCACTCCTGTCATGGTGGTTCTACCACTTCTCTGTTTTTCATTGCTAGTGCTTGGTGAGCTTTTCCACAAGCCAGCTCAGCAGCAGAAGCCTGTTGGAGCAGCTAGGAACTTGAATCATCTCACAAAGAGCAAACTGCTGCAATTGGAGGCAGAGGAGAGTTAATGGGGGAGTAGTGTGACCTTCCTCATGTGGCAGCAGTGAGTTACTGAATCCCCTGACACATGAGAACTGCACAGGTGAAGAGAAGCAGTTTGATGGCAGGGACCTGCTGCAGAGGGGAGGCAGGACTGAGGCAGTAACAGACTGGGAAGAAAAAGTCTGAGAGGGAGAAACTGTCAGAAGAGCAAGCCTGTTAGAAATGTTCCTTCTCAAAATGCCTAGAAGGTCCATGGTTTTTTCAGTCTTTTATTGCTGTCAGAAGAAAATGGTAAAAGCCAAAGGAAATGTAAAGATTTATATGGCAGTAGAACATTAACATCCATTAGTAAAGTGGAAGAGGTTTTTTCAGTAGGCTTAAAAGCTCTCTTCTGCTGATAGATCTTGATATAATTTGAGCATCATAAAATTTCTCCCTTATTTAAAGGCCTAGGCAATGTTACATATAGGAAAGTAATGCTTTCTTGAAGCTGTAAAATAAAAAAATAACAAACATAAGTACAGTCTTAATTTATTGCATTTGCAAATACACCCCATTGTCTTAATTTTAGCCAGTGCCTCTGCTTTAGCTAGAATAAGGAATGAACAGTATTAAATAAAGATTTCATTAATATTGTCTCATCATAATTCTGTGTCTTACTGTGCCCTATTCAAATTCTGATCTGAGTAACTGGTAATTTCCATAAGCACTGTGAGTGATCACCTGTAGGGAGATACTGTTGCATACATACTCTAAAATTTCACTCTGATCTGCATACAGAGAGCTGAAAGATGAGAATTAAAAAAAAAAAAAAATTAAAATTCCAACCCCAAAAAAGTGAACAAATCACCCTCCCCAAAACCCACTTAGCTGGACTCATCTGTAAGTATTAACTGGGCAGAATACAACACCATGTTGTATTTTTTCTGTATGCTACCAATCTGTAAATAAACGCCCTGGAGTTGAGTGATACTGCTGAAGAGTGTTGTGGAATGTGTCCTTTGTGACCATTTAGACACAAGGGGCCAAATCCAGCCAAGTGGACTCCAGAGGTGCGGTGTCCCATACAGGATATCCATTCTGTGGAATTTCTGAAATTTATCTGTACTAGGAAGAGATTTTGCTTATGAGTGCCACTGCTGAGAATTTATGCATTGGCTTCCTTTAGCAATTTTTGTATAAACTTTTATTTGGCCATAACTCCCAAGCAAACAATGTACCAGCATCTGGGTGCAGATGCTGGTACAGAGCCTGTTCAGAGGGGAAATTGTTGTATACCAGAAAAGCATAATCATTATTTTCTTACCTTCTTTAATTTGCAGCAGCATAATTAAAAGATGGATTTGCTTTAGCTGTATTTATTTTATTTTCCCCCTTATTGCAACAGGCTAGGTGAGTTCTTATTTGCATCTATAAAATATGCTTGGGAAAGAAGAAAATGCCTTAAGGGCAGTGCTCACAAACACTCTGAGCTTCCAGGCAAATCTATTTGATGTCCAAAAAAATTAAAGTTAGGAAACTAATTTGTAGTAAATACTACCAATCAGTATGCAAGCTGCCTATGAATTTTGTAAGAATTATTTCAACAATTAAAATAGTCAGATACTTAATATATATGTTTTATATATCATAGAGTTGAAATGGCTAAAATGTCAGATCTCATGTTAATATGGCTCAGGAGTTAATGCACAAATTCTGCAAGCACTGAGCTGAAGACCTGATGTTGTGTTACTCTGTCTTGGCAGAAGTTGGAACTCTTGTTGTAGAAGGGATTGCTGTTTATTATTTCAGGGTAAAGCTCTAAACCAAGTGTTCTGAAACCCATTGCTTAAAATTGTGTGGGTTTTCTTTTTGTTTTCTTCTGATGCAGGTGTGATGGACAGGTAGCAGAAGATTTCACTTTGCTCTCTGGGTATCAGAATGACCGAGTGCTTCCTGCCTCCCACGAGCAGCCCCAGTGAACACCGGCGGGTAGAACACAGTGGGGGACTGGCTCGTACTCCCAGCTCTGAAGAGATCAGTCCTACAAAATTCCCCGGATTGTACCGCACCGGTGAGCCCTCACCACCTCACGACAGCTTACATGAGCCTCCAGATATAGTGTCTGATGATGAAAAGGAGCATGGGAAGAAGAAAGGAAAATTTAAGAAAAAAGAAAAAAGAAGTGAGTAGACAACTTCTCTTTTTAATTCAATGCTTTCGAGTTCTCTTTCCTTTTTTCTCTCTCAAAATTGCTAAGTATTCCCAGTGGGTTCTTTTAAATTTGTTTCAATGTGGAGGAAGTTAATTTAGTCTGCTACAAGCAGACTTTGTGCAGCACCTGTTTCTCTTGCAAAAAAACTCCACACCTTAATTTTCTTTTGTTGTGCGATACAGGTGCCAAGCATGTGCCCAGAATTACTAATAAATGCATTTATCCAAAACCTTTCATGATGCATTGGTAAATTCTGGCATGGAGTGGTTCTTCACGTTCTAAGTGGAGGTTTTCAAACGTGTTTCCAAATATATCCATTTTTAATCATAGCTGAGGTGCCAGCTAGAATAAAACTGTATGTCTGATCTGAATTGTACACTTGTGCATTTGGAAGAAGCAGTTTCAACAGCTGTAGCCCTTTTCCCATGTGTCCCCCTTCTTCTGTGTTTGCCTTATTCAGTGTACCATCCCACGTTTTCATGTGCACACTGCACCATTATTTGAGCAGTCATAAAATCTCTGTTGTTTTTTTTCTCTAGCTTCTCAGTTTAGTCTGATCATGCAGTTTCCTCCAGCAGTGCCAAAGTATTATTGCAGAGGTCAAAAATGTGGAAACCAACACTGAGATCTGAATTTTCCAGAACTCACTGAGCAAATGTTAGAAGAAGGTAAAGCTTTGACTATAGAATCCTTTGTCAGTGTATCAGTATCCAGAGTGGAAATTTCTTAAATGCTTACCCGTCCTCCAAAACAACAGAACTATTACTTCCCACCTTTATATTTGTGCAGAAAATTTTCAAAACATGAAATAGTTTTTATTCAAGAAAGTTTTTTTACATATTCTGAAAGAATAAGGCACTTGGAAATACTAAGCTGATACTGAGCACTCTCAATACCAGAATTACACTTCCTGTCCAAGTCTCTAAAACCTAAATATCACAGCCCAAGTGCTAGTACTTTGTAAGTGATATTTGTTTTAGCAAAATTTCAGAATGTCTGAATCTCTGATACAGTGTATCCTGCTACTTCTTACTTCTTCTCAAATGTGGAATTTGGAAGATCAGAAACAGTGAGACAGTATTCTGTTAGAATTAATATGATGACTATTTGTAATATGCATGCACATATTTAAATAATCACTCCTTAAGAATCTGCTGTCACTGCACTGCTTTTAATCAAACCAGTTTCCTGGAATGCAGGAATTGTTTCTACCACATTAAGAAAGGCTATGGCTATTTTAACTAAAAACTGTGTGCCTAAAGAATACTGTAACTCAGAGATGCATCCTCAAGTTAAAACCAACAGTTGAAATTCCTACAGGTTTTTAGAAAAGTGATTCATTAGTGATTTTCTGTAATGTAAACCATATTGACCTAATACAGATTACTGGATTGGCATTGAAAATTCGGTATTGATTGGATAGGTCTAAATTCAGGCTATCAGTAGTTGCTTTTTTGCTGTCCAGCTTTCTGTTAGAGCTCTGTATTGCACACCTCTAAATCTGGAACTGGTAGATGCCAACATTTTTCATTGTGTGGATTTCTTTGTATGGAATTCAGGATGTCTCATGGTGATAGTGTAGCTGAAGGCTGTTGTTTAGGAGGAAAAATGCTACTTCAGCAAATCCACACGGGTCTGTGCACATTGGCACTGCAACTGTTTTTTTCCACAAGAGATTGCAACACATTTTATTGCTGATTTTATAGCTGATATAAAGCAATCTCTGTTACTTAAAAGAACCTTTAAAGGTATGAAAAAGCCCTCAAAGAACACAAAAATGCAAAATCTGGGAGGAACAAAATAATCTCTTACAGCACAAATGTCAAGGGCATTCAGCATTTCTTGGCCCTAATATATGTCTGTCATATAATTGCCAGTCAGATAGAAGAGTAATTTGCATACCAAGCTTTCAGTACATCTCATACACTCCAAAAATAATCAATATTGTAAATATACCCTCAACATAGACTTTACCTGTCTAAATTGCAAGTGTTCTGTACAGTTGCTTATCATGGTAGATTTTAAGAGTTTTCCTTCCAGATTTGGCCTTTGTTATTCCTCCCATCCTTTCGATTCTTCATTTTATTTCACCTTTTCAATTTTGTTGTGTGTCTTCAGATTGGTTTTTTTCATTTTTTCTGGTTACCTGCTTTGGTTTTGAGTAGTGCACAACCTGCGATGATGATGCTGTTTGGGATATAAACAAATATAACTGAACGTGTCAGTGAAAAAAAGACAAGTTAACATTACATTATGACAGAGTGAGTGTTTCTTGAACTTGCAATATTAGTGAATTAATGACAAAGTCATTCTAACACCTGAAACTGTATCTGCGTTTAATCCCACAAAATCTTGAACTATTTTGATAATACTCTAAATGTAAACCTCAGAAGTGCTTGAAGAGCAGCAGGGAAGGTTAAATACCCCAAAGTTACTCAGTTTGGTTTTTCAGGTAAATAATTTCTGTAAGAGTAATGTATTCTTAGCTTCATTATTATCACCTATATAAAAAAGCATTTTTGTGTGCTAGCAAAAAATCCTTTTCCATATCTTTGTATATAGATATAGTTATTTAATGATTTGATTTTTTTATGTTAGTGTCAGTAACCTAATGATAGGTTACTGACAGCAATTATTCTGGGGGAAAAGTGTTTTGGAGGTAATAGAAAATTCAATATAATATTGTTTCTTATGTGGAATATCGGCTACTGGAAAAATATTTCAGCCACTAATTTTTATTCTCCCCTCTCTTTTGATACACTGGGTGTTTGTTAGCTGTAGAGTGAGTTAGATTAGGAGACTTACTAGGGATTAAAAGGAATTTTCTTTTTACTGGAATAGTTTTAAATCAGATCTGTTCCCTGACTCAAACAGAACTTGTCCCGTGACAGCAGGAGTGCAAAAGTGGATCTGTGTTAAGCAGCAATGGATTATGTGAAACAGCAACCACTGTAATTGATTTTTGAAAATGTTTAACCACCTGTCACTAATCACATGTTGATAAAGCCATAAAACATGCAGTTCCTTGCAGAAGAAAAATGTTATGGTAAAATACCTCTGAAGAAGCTCTTCTTCCCATTAGAATTTCTGTGGATAAAGAGTCTGTATGGAGTAGATCTTACTCTGCTTATTCATTTTACTTCTGAAGATTGATGCTGATGGGCAGAATGGGTTCAATATACAGCTAGGATTTTTTTTGTTTACAAGAATCTGGATTTTCTTTGTACAATTCTCAAGAAAATGGAGAATTATTTGAATTGTACTAAACTATCACATGAAAGGTCAGTAGGATCATCGATATGAACTCTTCTGAAAATTTCAGGGAATATTTTTGAAAGACGGATCCTTGATGTGTTGGACAGGGCTCCTCTGTGTTCCTTTGGAATGTAGATGAGGACTGAAACCAAACCACTGCTATTGCAAGCAAAACATTTTTACTGTCCAATGTGTGGAGAAGCTCTGAATACAGTTTTCAGATGTGCAGACTAAAAGGTTATTCTTACACCTGATAAAGATTAGAGGCTCTTCATATCAGGGTTTATCTTCAGGATAAATAGGGTGCATTGCTACTTCCTGTTCTGCTCACAAATCACTGTATATTTCTATGTACCACTGTGTGTTTAATTAGCAAAGTACCATTTGCAGATAGTTTAAAAGTCTGCCTTTTAATGCCAGTGATTATTTTAAATCAAAATAAAGTAAGACAAATTTCTTACTTCAGCTTCATTTGCTCTGCTGGCACGGTGCTGCAGAGTAATTTGCATGCAGAATTTGTTTGGCAGTGCTGTGGTGACATCAGTGAATCAAGTGAATATTAAAGACAAACTGATCTAATTGAAGGTTGTATAGTGAGTGTTGGTAGTGTCTGTAAGGTGGAAGTTTCTGTTGATAATAAAAATGCATCTTGTGGGCAAGGAGAGGAAGTAGAAGCCATCTATTCAAGCTCATTGTGCATTTGTGTGTCTTAGTTTTACTTAGAAATGCTGTACTTAGAAATGCTGTACAATCTGATGACAGTCCCTCTGACAAACTGACATTAGGTAACTCATGCTTGCACTGCACTTCAGTCATATTTGACCTACTAATTCTCTCATATGTAAAAGCCATCCATGTTTTCTTTCAATTAATTAATTACAGATCCTGCAGATTTCCCTGGGGAGCCAAATCAGCTGTAGAGTTGTAATTTACTTTAAAAAACCCATCAGAGACCCAATGGACAAAATGTCTCTTGCAGTAGGTTTGATAAGTGGTAGTTCTGAATTATGCCACCCTTGGAGTTAACAATAAATACTACAGCATGACTTTAGTGCTTTGTTATGAGAACACAGAAGTATTCCCAAGTATGCAGACTGATAGAGACTCTGAACTTGCTGCATGACAAAGGTTATAAGCCTGTAAACTAGATTTTTCCAGAGTAACACTGGAATTTATTGTTGTTGTTGTTGTTGTTGTTGTTGTTGTTGTTAATAATAATAATAATAATAATAATAATAATAATAATAATAATAATAATAATAATAATAATAATAACAACAACAACAACAACAACAGGGTTTTTTATAATTCTCAGTAAGATAAGGGAACTTCAAGCATTACATTACATGTAACGTAACTTGAAGCATTGCATTTAAAATAACTGCAATGAAGGCATGCTTATGGAAGGAAGGTCTAACAAAAGGAACTGGCAGATTATGCTGTGTCATTATGCTGGTGAAATTGGAGTATTTATTACATTAGTACTGTTCTCATATAGATGGAGGAAAATGTCAGTGGCATAGAGTGATGGGAAAATGGGTACTATTAGTCCTGCAAGTCTTGAGGAAACAGTGGACAGAAATACCAGTTTACTATACTGTAGGTAATACTCTTTCCATATTTAAAACTACCTGATTTTTCAAGCACTTTTGGTAATTTTTCTTCTATATAAACTTTAGTTGTTTATATTTCAGTAAATTGCATCACTGGTGAAAGAGGTACAGCAATTTTATAACCAAAAGTATAGTAAAGAAAATCAGGCTATTCTTGAGAGACATGCAAATCCTCTCTTGGGATATTCTGTGTGAATCTGTATTAGTTTATGTTTCTAAGCTTTGTTGACTTATGTTACTGAGATAAATTTTAAAAGGCTGGGTTTGTATTTAACTTGCTCTTTGATGTCTTCTCACGAATTCAAGAAATACCAGATTCAGTAATGTTCTCTTGCTGGTGTTACATTACCACAGACCTAGGAAGGCACTGGGGCTTGTGTTGCAGAGTGCAATGTTGGGATGTGTAAGCAGTGCTCTGTTGGTGGCACCAACCTCCCAGCCTGTGTGCCAGTGCTGGCACTTCCTGATGTGCATGTGGGAACCCCACACTGTGTGACTGGGAGCTGTCACAGCTACCCAGGAGGAAGCACTGAGGGCAGATTGTTCCGGGCTCTCTCTGGGAGACACCTGGCTCTCTGTTTGGAAATTACATCTCTGAAGTTCATCTTGAACCTTGGTGCCAGCCCCATCTCATTCTCATAAAACACAAGATGTGTCCTCCTGCTTTGTCCTGTAGCTGGTGGATCTGCAGTTGCTTCTGTACCAGAGTGAGATTTGAATCCTTGCCCATTTCTGGGTTTAGTTTACAAAAAGCAGTAAGTGACATAGTCAGTAAGCAGGGAGGAGAAGTCCTGGCTGCTGGTTGGCCTTCAGTTAATGTTTGCATTTTTATGTTAAAATCCACTTGGACAGGAGCAGTTCTACAGTCTTTTTTAGTCTTCTAGGAAAGTGTGTGTTTGGTAGTCCTAGGGAAGAGTATCAGCTGCAAAGACTGAGCTGATTCAACAATTGCAATTATCTTATGGTAGTTCCATGCTTTAATACAATTCTTATATTTGTTTGACTATGACAAGCTATCTTCTACCAGTCAAGGAGGCTTCAAAATAAAGACAGTTCTTTTATATGCTGAAAAAATGCTGAGAAACTCTGCAGTCTGGTATAGTTCAGAATTGGAAGGAGGAAAGACTAAATGCCCCCTGGTTCTTCTGCAGATATTCCACTTGGAAAAAATTATAGCTGATAGCTTCATGTGAGATATGCTTGAATATTATCAAGAGGGTAATTTTCCTCTGCCCAAAACTATTCAGGCAGCAGGAGCACTTGGCTGTCAGTGCTGCCTCACTCGAGCAGAGGCTCTGCCTGTAGGCAGTGGAAGAGCCTCAAAGGGCTCCTAATGGGGGCTTGCTGCCCACTGCCTTGGGGACCTGGCTAGTGCAGATGGCATGTCCAATGTCACCTTTGTTGACCAGGTTTCAGGCTTACTTTTCTTACATGGGGTTCTGTATATGTAAAATTAAAATTAGTGGGCTTGAAAGTTGTGTTGGATTGCGTGTTGCTGGGTTTGTTTGTGGGTTTTGTTTTTTTTTTTTGTTGGTGTGTTTGTTGGGGTTTTTTTGTAATCCACCTTTAAAGACTTTTGTGTTCTTGCCTGAAGGTGAGGCAGGGCCAGCTGCAGAGGCGTAGGACTTAAAAGCACCTGGTGCATGTTTTAGACAGCACTTGGATGTTTGCTGCTGCAGTGGTGTGCTCAGCCCAGGGACTTGTTTGAATCTCTCCCATGTGCTTTTTAAGGCAAATCTGCACTTTCATGGGCAGGTATTGTTCTAGTGTTACTGGAATTGTGTTATTCATCTAGTGAAAAGTAAGTGCTAGTGCTTTTTTGGTTTATGTTTGGGGTGGGGTTTTTTGTATTTTATTTGAGGCTGAAACTTTATTAACTTCATACTTGTCTTTAAATTCATAATATTTTGGAAAAGGATTGGGACTTTAGGTGGCTGGAGTTTAGTTTGTTGTTAATTGAAATTTGTTAGACTTCTATGTGTGCAGTAGATGATCCTTAACAGCAACTCTTATACTGTTGATTGCAGGAACATAGAGAAGTTGCCAGACAGTTGTTTTTATTTTGCATTTCCTTGACTATTAGATGGGAATCTAGCCCATAAGATGGACATAGCCATTATGAGTAAGTACATAAAGTATTCATTGTTTAGATCGTTCAGGAGCTCTGTGGCTTATCTTTGATGTAATTATACAACTTGATTTAATCCTTATCCACTCAAGTGTCTAACTAAAGAAAACCTTCCGAGGAGTCAGACGGGCACTGTTTTTTAATTCTTGTTGCTTCTTCCCTCTCCTCCTTACATGCAACTTCTTGTTGTTGCTGTCTGGAAAGTAAACAGACTCACAGCTGTCCCCTTCCCTTCTCCTGCTTTGCCCAACAGCGGAAGGCTACGCTGCGTTTCAAGAGGACAGTTCCGGTGATGAAGCTGAAAGTCCTTCCAAGTTGAAGCGCTCCAAGGGAATACATGTCTTCAAGAAACCCAGCTTTTCCAAAAAGAAGGAGAAGGATTTTAAAATAAAAGAGAAACCCAAAGATGAAAAACACAAGGAAGAAAAACATAAGGAAGACAAACACAAAGAGAAAAAGTCAAAAGACTTAACTGCAGCAGATGTTGTAAAACAGTGGAAAGAGAAGAAGAAAAAGAAAAAGCCAATTCAAGAGACAGAGATACCTCAAGTGGATGTTCCAAGTCACAGACCCGTGTTTGGCATTCCTTTGTCTGACGCAGTAGACAGGACCATGATGTACGATGGCATCCGCCTGCCAGCAGTTTTCCGTGAATGTATAGATTACGTAGAGAAGTATGGCATGAAATGTGAAGGCATCTACAGAGTTTCAGGTACTCTGGGCACACTGACATCCAGGTTCCTAAGGTCTTTACTTGCAAATTTCTTATTATTTTATCACTTCCAACATCTAGGTAGACTGTTTATAGCTCCATTAATTATCCAGAAGGTAATCAGGTTAGCCAAAGTTTAGCAGACTTGTAGGTCTGAAGTACCAGAAAAAATTGGTAATGTGGTGGTACTACTTAATGCCAGTAAAGACACACCTATTTTGGCTTTTGTCATGGGATGGTAGCAATTAACATGTGTTAGTATATTGTATTTTTTCTTCTGCTTTAGAAATATAATGGTAGCTGATAGCAAAAGCAAAGATGAGCTATAACCATTTCATTGCTTATGCTTCCCACTAAGTTGCTTTTTCCATTTAGTCCCATTGTATATTTTTTTCTTGAAAACTTCTTTTCTCTCAGCAAATTTGCTTATAAGCAGAAAATGCAAGTTTCACTAAGGTTAGCAACAGCAGCTAATTAAGTGTGGTAGTTGTGTAACACCAGCTTACATAAGTGAAACCTCAGTTTAAGTCACATTGGACAAAACAGTCCCTTTATTTGTGAGGTGCACCAGAAATTCAGCTCCTGTAAGTACTTCTGTGGCTACATTGGAAGGGACAAGAACAAGCAAGGAAAGGAATTTCAGGAAAAGCATGTTGAATCAAGTTACCCTTCACTGTAAACCAGTAATGAAATTATTTTAAAGGCTTCATTAGCTGTCTTCTTGCTGTCCATCTGCATGCTGTTTGGTGGGCATGCAGAAATACTGCAGCACCTTAAGCAGTTGCTAGTGACACATTTTGGTTGCTTGATTTTTTTACACACGATGTGTTGGGAGTTTTCACAGGTATGTTTTCCTTAATTTCTGCTGTGTTCTTTGTACATGTTCTCCAGTGCAACAGCTCCCTCTTGTGCGTGTAGCATTGTTTAAATTGAGAGCTCAGAGAGAGCATTGCCGTGCCTTAGTGGCCTGCAGCTGTTGTGATGGCTCATTTTGGCCGTGAAACTGAGCATGTTTTCCTGGCATTTTCCAGGGGCTGAGTGTGCCCAGTTGTGCTCATTGAGTATGAGCCAAGCCAGGGCTGTGCACCAAGTTGGTGTAACTTGAGTGGGTGTTTGAGCTGCAAGAATGAAATTTCCCCAAGCTTAGGAAGATCGGAATGTCACTGAGTTATACAAACACCTTGTAGAAAATCTTGGCTGGGTCGAATAATTGTGAACACACTTTTAATCATGTGGTGCCTCAAATCAAGGATCCTGTGTGAGATTCCTCTGCTGAGGAGGGCCAGCTGGAAATGTGGAAACTAAAAAGTGTGGGGTTTGTTTTGACAAAGGAAAGCTGCTATAGGTAGAGCTTGTTACACAGCATCTGAACTGAAAACATATTTGCTGCCTGGGTTAGGGATGGGTAATTGAACAGCCAGAAAGAAGCTTAATGCAAATACACAACTGATCTCGAGTTCCCCAGCCTTTCCTCACCCTGTTTTGTGTTCCTTGATGAAAGGGAATGCTGGTACCAGTTCTGATTCAGAGCTCTGTCAGTGCTTTGGTTTTGCTTCATAGGAGTAGTCAGTGCTTTTAGAACCAGTGACCATGTAATTTTGAGTCACGATTTTCACTTTGTTACATGTGCATATCTTTTAGAAGGTGCTTCTCAATTATCTGAAATTGTAAGGAGAGGTGAAACAAAGGCATCTCCAAAACCAAAAGTTTAAATATAACTGTCAGACATTTACAGTCAAATTTTCTCTTAATTCTTGATCTAACTATTTCAAGGAATAAAATCAAAAGTTGACGAGCTGAAGGCAGCCTATGATCGCGAGGAATCTCCAAACCTGGAGGAATATGAGCCCAACACAGTCGCCAGCTTGCTCAAACAGTACCTACGGGAACTGCCCGAAAATCTGCTTACCAAAGAGCTCATGCCCCGCTTTGAAGATGCTTGTGGAAAGAGCACAGAAGCTGAGAAAGTTCAGGAGTGCCAGAAGCTGCTCAAAGAGCTGCCAGAGTGTAACCATCTCCTGATTTCATGGCTGATTGTGCATATGGACCATGTTATTGCAAAGGAACTAGAAACAAAAATGAACATCCAGAATATTTCTATAGTGCTCAGCCCTACTGTTCAGGTACGTGCTCCACACTGCAAGGCTTAGAGCAGAACTGCAGCCCAAGAAAGATTTCTTTGTAGGAACTCTTTTGCAGGTGGGAATTGGGTATTGTCTGATACAGTGTAGCTAATTTACAGCTCCTCTTTATGCCTCAGGAACCTGAAATGCTGGGAAAGGGGGAACAAAAGACTTTCTGCGTGTGGGCTTGCATACTGTGGGTCTGATATTTGGGTTATTATCAGAGTATTACAAAGACTGCTGTCTTTCAGTTCTGTTATGAGAAGTCATTTAATGTTGATTTTGCTCAGTAATTCATACAGCTACACAATTTCTGTGGGGTTTTGATTCAGTGATAGTTTAGTTAAGATATTGTTGCTTAATTTTAATATGAACCCTGTCCTGCACGTAGATCTTCCTGATGCAGTAGTGACTTAGGTAAAATGGCTTTGTTGTCTGCAGCCAAATGGCTGGGGAATAACAACTGACTTGGTTTTCCAGTAAGATTTTGTGGTTTCTGGATTGCTTGATTCCTTAATAGACATCTTGGAAATATTTAATTAAACACAGCTCAGAATTAGTCCTGTGCATGATGAAAATGTGGCATTACTGGGTGTGGATCTTCTAGAGCAAACACCACATGTTAGAAAAGCCTGACTTTATAATTAGAGTCCAGGTGGAGGCCCAGTAGCAGAAGGGCCAGCTGTTATTCCAGGCTTTTTTGCTATGCCAGAAACCTCTCTAGCTAGGAAAAGAAGTTACAATTAGGGTAAAACAATGCAGGCCCAATCATGTTTTGTTGGTAACTAGATCTTAGCAATTGAAGTGCAGGTAATGACACAACTCTAATATTTGTTTCAGGATAATTTTTTAAATGTCAGTGGAAGATAAAGTATCAAAATAAATATACTTGCTTCTGTCACCGGTTAAAACAAGGAATATAATGAAAGATACTTGCATACTACTTTTTTCTACTATGTTAAGTCATCAGAGAGAGAAGCTGTAAGAATACTTAGAGGTTGGGGGAAGAGAGAGCAGGTGTAGCCAGCCATCAGGTATAACACAGTAGGGTTGATGTTCCCTCTTGCTATCTGTCTTTACATGAGTACAAAGAGATTGAATGCATTTCTATGTCTATCAGTGATGGAAATAATTCTGGTTGTTTAAGAGATGTGAAGATGCTGAGTTTAGTATGAAAGTGTCTCAGATGCACAGGTAAGAGAAACAGTGAAGTGATCCCTTGAGGCCAACACCGCATTGTTGAATGTAAAGATACTTTTCAATCCAGATTTTAATCTCAAGACAGACTGACATGACTGTGGCTCACAGAAAGGTTTACTAAAGGCTGCTGTTTCTGGAGGACACTGTGCTTTGCAGATAAAGATGATGAGAATAAATCATCTTAACCAATATCCCCCTGTCCTTTTCAGATCAGCAACCGGGTCCTGTACGTGTTTTTTACACATGTTCAAGAGTTCTTTGGAAATGTGACCCTCAAGCAGGTGACAAAACCTCTTCGCTGGTCAAATATGGCAACAATGCCAGCACTTCCAGAAACACAAGAGAGCATCAAAGAAGAAATCAGACGACAGGTTGGCAATTACTTGAGTGTTTTTCTGTTTATCTTTGCCCTGGATTTTATACATTCACTAGAAAATTCTCCTAAGTTTGTAACACGTGCTTTAAGTCCATCACAATTATCCTATTGGTGAGACCACTGGGAAGAGCTTGATGATTTCCTTTCCTTTTTCATGTGTGGAAAGTTGTTATGGTCTTGTGATGCTCATAGCTGTGTCATCCATGGAGTGCTTTGCTATGCAGGTCAGTACTTTTGTTGTGGGAGGAGGGCCAGGAGAGCCCATTAGGGAGGGTAATTTCTTTAGTACTGCTCTTCAGCTGGCTCTGGATCCATGCTGGGTTTGTGTTAACACTTGTTCATGGACATGTCAAGGTTTGAAACCAGAACTCCCAGCCCACTGCCACAAAGCAAGAAACATCTTCCTTTTTAATCTGCTCTGGTACATTATATTTAAAGACGATTTCTTTGGCAATCTTTCTAGGAGTTCCTTCTGAACTGTTTACACAGAGACTTGCAGGCAGGGATAAAAGACTTATCCAAAGAAGAGAGACTCTGGGAGGTGCAGAGAATCTTAACAGCTCTTAAAAGGAAACTAAGAGAAGCTAAGAGACAGGTGGGTAACTTTCCTGTTTATTGGCTAGACAGCTAAATCATGGATCCTAATCCATAACAGTGCAGAGACACCTAGTCAGATCAAAACACCTTTCGGTCTTCTTTGCTGCAGATTTTCTCATTTTAACTTTACATGCCTGATGAGCAATTGTGTTTTCTGCTTAGCTGGCTCTCATAGGGACAGGGAGATCTTCACAGCTGTTCACAAAAAATGTGTGTGTGATGAAAAGCTTAATGTTTGCTAGGGCACATGCTCATTGTATTGAGTCCTAGAGTACCAAGAAGAATTACTGGAAGACTTGAGGTTAACAAATCTGAGAATTGTTTTTTAAACTATTTTATGTCCCACAGATGGGACAGACCATGCTCGAAATTTGGAAGACAACTGTGATGGTGGTTCTAAATTTGGAAAATAATGCATTAAAAAAATATTTTTTAGAGTAAATACACTGACCAGGGAAGCTGTCCTTTTAAATGTTGTTTTCTTTCTCTGGCAGGAGTGTGAAACAAAGATTGCACAAGAAATTGCTAGCCTTTCAAAGGAGGATGTCTCCAAAGAAGAAATGAATGAGAATGAAGAAGTTATAAATATTCTGCTTGCACAGGTAGCTGGCAGGCACTTACCTGTTTGCCTGGTAATGGTATTTTATATTTCAGATCTTTTAAACACTCCTTTGCCCCTTGTGATGCAGAGGGGACATTGCAGGCTCAGAGGGGTCTCTGTGTCCATTAAAACCACAAGGCTTTGTTTTAATGGCCAGTGAAGCAGGGAAGGAATGCTGACTGCAGGAGTGAGCCCAGAGCTGAGGAGACTCTTGTTAACAGCAGAAAGGAGACGCTGTGAAAGAAAAAAAAGTGGCCCTTGTTGTTCATGTACATAGAAAGCACCACTTCCCAATGTAGCCAGGTTCAGTACTGTTAACTGCTTTCCTGCTGATCAAAGGAAATAAGGCAACTCTTTTGGCTTTTTTGCCTCCTGTTGCTTCCCCCAGTAGCTTTGAAAATGAATATAAGGAGGAAAGTACAGAGGGGAGAAGATCAAAGACATGTAATTCAGTTTTTCTAGTTATTTTACTGGTTGGCCAGAGCTTTCCCCTGTGATTTAAGGAAAGGCAGCCAAACATGCCAGGATTTGGTGTGTCATCTCCACAACTATTCAGTATAGTGATTATCTTGAGGATTTAGAACAGACATTGTTGGGTTTGAACTTTTTATTTGCTTTGAGGTCTTGATGGATCAAAGTTCAAAGCAGACATGCTAACCACTGCCACCGAAAGTATTTCAGAGAACAGCATCATCTCATACTTATTGTATGTTCCTGTAGGAAATAAAGTCAAGGCTTTAAGTGAACTAACTGATCATTGCAGGAGAATGAGATTTTAACAGAACAAGAAGAGCTGCTGGCCATGGAGCAGTTTCTGCGGAGACAGATCGCCTCCGAGAAGGAAGAAATAGATCGGCTCCGAGCAGAAATAGCTGAAATACAAAGGTAAAGGGGACAGCTCACAGCAGAGCCCAGCCAGGATAGCATGCTGGGATTAAAAATACATAAATGCTTTGCTGAAAGAATACTCCAAACCACACTTAAAAGCTCACCCAGTGAACATCACAGTTGAAAGCCACTTGTTTTTATTGAAGTCCTGACAAATTTGAATCTTGCAGGATATTTTCTATTGTTTTAACAATGGAATTATGATGTAAAGGAAACTTGACCCTGTGCACTAAAAAAATCCCCCTATAAAATCACCGCTTTATTTTTTTTTCATCATTAAGCTTTGAAAGGGAAGTCTGATTTTGCTCTTTAAACCACTGGCAGATGATTGAGGGGCTGAGAGTTAAGTCTCTTGTGTTGCCACAGTTCTGGCAGACTCACGGAAGCATTTAAAGTGGAATTTGCCCTTGCTCTTTCAGTCGCCAGCAGCACGGCCGCAGCGAAACCGAGGAATACTCTTCTGAGAGTGAAAGTGAGAGTGAAGATGAGGAGGAGCTGCAGGTCATCCTGGAGGATCTGCAGAGACAGAACGAGGAACTGGAGGTAGGATTTGGTTCTTAGCATTCACTGGTTCTCTCCTGTGGTGCTCATGTGATTGCACAGGTGCAAACTGGTTGTGTGCATCAGTTTTGCCCAGGCTTGTGAGCCACACGCAGCTTTTAAATCACTGCTGTGTGCGAGTCCCTGTTGCTGCCTGGGCCAGCAGTGCTAAACACCCCTGAGCTACAGCACTGCTGTGTCAGAGGAACATATTGTCATTCCCTGGCATTTGTTTCCCTTCCTTAAAAGATCAAGAACAATCACCTGAACCAAGCGATTCACGAGGAGCGCGAGGCCATCATCGAGCTGCGGGTGCAGCTCCGCCTGCTGCAGCGCGCAAAATCCGAGCAGCAGGGCCAGGAGGAAGAGGAGCCGGAAAAGCGCGGGGGCGTTTCTCAGCAGCAGAGAGACACTGTCCTGGAGACAAAAGCAGCCAAAGAGCAGCCAAAAGCAAGCAAGGAGCAGCAAGTCAAGCCATCCCCAAGTAAAGACAGGAAAGAAACTCCCATTTGATCTGGCTCCTTGGCTATGCACGAAATCAACCGAACTGTGCAAATTACTGTAATTTGAGTCAAACTGCACAAATTATTGGTGGCTGTGTACATTCTGTAAAGAAACTTTTCTTTTAAGCCCTGGAGACTTTTGTCTCTAATACTTGTGGCTTCTACTCATCAGACTCAGGTGAGTTTGGAGAGGCCAGAAGAGTTTTCCAGTTAGTATCAGATTATTTCAAGACTGGTTTCCTTCAGGTGATTCAAAATAATTCAGTAACAGTTTTATTTCAAACCAAAATCATTATTTACATTCACTGGAGCAGAATTGGAAGATCTCCTTTTCAGTAAAACAAAACCCACCCACACTTACTAATGATTTGCCTTGTGGATCTGTTCATCCTCATTCACCATTATCTCTGCTTATTAACCTTGTCACTTCTTGCTTGTGCCTTTGATACCTTTCTGATGCAGATTATATACAAGGGAGCTTTAAATTTATTCTGGGTTGGCTGAAACGGTGGGAGACTGTGGGGTATCATGTTTACCTAACATGCCCTTAAGCTTCATTTCTGTTCTGAGATGTACTGAATAAGTGTAAAAACTTGAGAGATGTTATTTATGTCCCCAAATGATGGAAATGTCCATGTCCTTTAGCAGTGTAGGTAACTCACTGACTCATCATTAACCACCCTCATCACTCCTGTTTGACACAGGCCCTGTTCACACTGCTGCTGTGTAGCCAAGCGCTTTGTCTTCATCCATTTTAAATGTTTCCATCTCTTGGAAAAAGCCACTGCTTGTAGGCAGGGATGGGAGTGGTCATGTCTTTAGGACGTATCTGCCTGACCAAGCAATACAGCATTGCCCCTGCACAAATGCCAGGCACTTGGGATTTTGGGATTCCAAAGGAGCCCGCAGAGCCACACCAACGGGAGGCACCGGGGGTTCAGCAATAGCCTCCTTTTGTTGGTGTTTAACAAATCAACCACCACTACCCGGTTTGGGTTTGGCTGTTTTTAATGCTTCTGCCCTTCAAAATCCTCCACCCACACTGGCATTTAAGGGCCCTTTAATGTTTTGGATACGCTCATTGGACTCAGCCCTCAATCCATAGAATAGACAGAAACTCCACAGAGTGCATATAGGCTATCTTATTTTTTAATCTGGATATTTATTTTCAGCACCTGTTGGATGTGGTTGTATTCTTTATCTATTGCACTGTTGTGAATCATTGGCCATGATTTGATTTTTGTACAAATAATGCTTTGATATGTTATAGAAAAAACAGCATAGTATTTTTTTAAAATTTGGAAAAAAGTTTATAAACACAGAAAATGTGATCAGATTACAAATGTAAACTAAAGCATTCTCCCTTGCCTTCGTTACATACATTTTATATTTGCTGGCAATATTTAAACTTTTTGTTTGTTTGTTTAATTCACACTAATTCCTATTGAATTGTCATGGATTTTTCTAATGTTCTTCAGACAAATCTCTTAATATTGGTTAACTTTTATTTTGTTAGGATTGTATTTATCAAGCAAATAAATTCAACAGCCATTTGAAAGTAGTTTCTCCTTCATCTACTTCATAATGCAGATCACAGTTATTCTTCTCAGGTGGGTGCCTGCAGCTGAGAAGTTTCTATGAAAAATTACTCAAAGTAAGGTCTGAAACAGGTGGAGCTGTTGCCCCTGCAGCAGCACAGCTCCTATAAGCAGAAACTTGGTGTCAAACCACCTGAGAGATGCTTGAATTGTTCTGTGCCTCAGCACAGGTGAGGCTGGGGCTGCGCTCTTGCTCCTCCTCTGCTGGGGGGCCTGGCTACCCCAAGCACGGAAGCAGCTTCCTCATCCCAATGCCTGCAGTGAAAAAGCCACAGAGCAGCAGCCATTGGAAAGCCTGCACGTAGCAGCTGTGAATCATTAGCCAAAAAAAGCCAAAGTTAATTTCAAATAAAGTGGAAAGTAACTGCAGCACAATAATCTGAGTGTGCTGTTCAGATCACATAATGTATTTCTCAATCCCAAGGGCCATAGAAAAATACCTGAGCATCCTGGGCACCTGTGTGAAGCACATACAAGTCCTAAAGGACCAGGTTATATAAATCAAAGTGTCATTTGAGCTGATCTATAATAAGCCTCTTTGCAACACCTTAGATAGAGCCTGTGTCTGCCAAGTGCAGCAGCATCATCTCTGTCAAACCCTTTGGACAAAATACCAGACTGATTTACGTTTACTGAAAAGTGGCAGGAACAGGCTCACAACATTAATTCTGCTGTTCTGGACTTAACATTTGTGAGTGATTGGCCCTTGGCTCCCTTCTTCAAATCTGAGCACTTCCACTAGAGGTGGCCCCAGGTGATCGGATGGGTGACAACGACACACCTGGCTTGTTCTGACACCCCTTTCCAACACAGGCCCGGAACAGATCAGTCACATCTGACAGTCAGAAGCCCAAAGGATCAGGAAGCACCATATGAACAAATCATTGGGATTCCCGTGCCAGTGAGGCAGGACACAAAGAGGGGGGTTGCCCACAGGTTACTGAAATCACAACAGCTTTTATACCCATTGAAATACTGCAGCTGTACTTGGAACAGCCTTAGACATCTGGCACACCAAGCAGGATTTTTCCCTCCCTCTTTTTACCTGAAAAGCAGCAGCCTGAAGTGAACTGGTATTGTCTGAACAGCTAAAAAGAACTGGGGTTGTTTTATTTTTTTTTCTGAAAGATAAAAAAAAAATAAAATGCTAGATGGGCCTCCAGAAATTCATTGTCCTTTACCATGGACATAAAGGACTCCTGTACAGAAGGTTTCCACCTCTACTCACTGTTCCTACACTAGCACTGGGGGGACTTTTATTTCTCTGTCCCCTCAGATTAATGAGTTAAGTAGCAATTTTTAAAATCTATGTACTGAAGCCAACAATTTGATACCTGACCATGTAAAGCTAATTTCTTTCAATTAAAAAAAATAGATAACAATTAAAACCTCAACCTGAACCTCTGCCAAAGAGGTCTGACCAAGCTTCATCTGTCAAGGTTTCCATTTCTCATCAAGCAGCTCTTACTCCCAATGCTTCATCTGCACAGGGAAAAATGCCTCATCCAGACCCATATAACATGGCTTATATCCAACAGCACAAGTTCTCCACTGTGTTCTTTAAAACACACTCCAGCAGCAGAAGCCACAGCACCATGCTCTGCGCCAGAGCACGGCTGTCTGTCCTTCCTGTCCCTCGGAGGAAGCCCTGGGCTGCTGCCCCACCCTCTGTGGGTCTGGAGACCCACAGAACCTGTCAGGACAGGCCCCTCCCGGCGCACTCTGCATTGGCGCTGTCACTGCTGACACACAGGACTTGCTGCCACGTTTCCTCTCGAGTTTCTTGTGTTGCTGCCTTAACAGCGTGAGCTGGAAGCTTTGCCAAAGGATAACACTGCACAAACATATGATTCTAAACCAGACAGCCCCACTCCCACAGCCTGGAAAAATTCCCCATCCGAACCACGAGAGTTCTCAGACCAACCCTGCAAACTGGGCTGCTCTGCATGGACTTTTCCCCTTCCCAAATCCCTCTTGTCTCTGAACCCCCTGGTCCAGGAGAAGAACCACAGCTGGTCCTTGGAGGGGGAAGGGAGCCTTGAGTACAGCCATAGCCTTGTTCATCTACAACTCCACAGATCACCACGGCAGTCCGCAATCCCAGCATTTTGTATTTGAGAGATGGGAATACTGCATCCCACATTTCTGCACCAATGAACACCACTTGCTGCCACACAGGGGATGTGCCTGGGAGTCCCAATGAGCTCCTGCTGCTGCACATTCCCACTACCGAGAGTCACTGCCTGGGCTTATCCCAGTGCAGGGCCCTGAAGGAGATGGGGGCAGGACATTTCTGCTGACGGCACTGCCTACAGGAAACAGTGTCAGGCACAAAGATCCAGGAGGTGACTGGAAAAAACTTAAAAAAAACCCCAAAACCCTAAGCCAAGAGACCAGAAGAAACCATGAGATCAATGACCAGTACAAGAGAAATGGCCTGGCCCCATTTGTGCCTTGTCGGTACCTTACTCAAATGGAGTTTATTTGGGTTTTTCTTACACCGCAAACCCAGACTGACTGAAAAATAAATTAAATTCCTTTTGATGTTCAAACAGTGCATCTCTCCTCCTCTCAGCCTTGCTAAAAAACATGCAGAGAAGTGTGCTCAGTACCTTCACTTGTCACAGTCACAATCCCAAAGCACCTGCAGGTAATCCCTTTAAGCATTTCCCACATAGAGACGTTATTATATGTCTGCAGAAATAGGTCACAGAATTTCAAGCAGACAATGATCAGAGAGCTGCAAGATGTTTAAACATTTGGTTATTTATCTCTGCTAAGTGACAGAGTATTCTAATCAACCTCAACAGCAACTGAACCCTAAAATAATCCCATTAATTTGGGCTCTTTATTTATTTTTCTGATCTAAACAGAATGTTAATTAAAACTAACAGGCAGAATCTGAAGGCACTCGAGCAGAGGGAGAAGATCATGCAAAATGAGGTTTTCTGTCATACTTTCATATTTTAAGGCAGTCTCTCAGTACGTCCTAACTCTGCACATACAGAAATGATTAATCACTTGAAATATCCTTTCCATGCTGGCACAGACAGGGAGACAAACCCTTCCCATCAGTATCAGGAAGGACAGAGTAAGTGGAATACAGAACCAGCTTCTGCCCACCTGCCTGCCTCAGACTCCTCTTATCCTTCCTGAAACCAGGTCAGAAAATGTGAGGTGCACACCAGCTTCCCCAGCAAAAGACAAGGGACTAACAGGAGCCTTTGCCAGCAGGAGGGAACTCAATCAGAGAGTGCCTGAGCCATGGGACAGACTCTGCCCTCCTGCCCCTCCACTCCCAATTCCAACCAGCCACCTCTGCAGCCTGACCGCTGGCAGTACAGGGACAAGGGGCCGAGCACTAACAAGGCTCTAACAAGTGCCCTGCTGTTCTGTTGTCCTAATGAACCCACGGGGCCAGGAGCTTGTGCAGCAGCCATCTGGGACATTCAGAGCAGAAAAAAAAATGATTTCCAAGCCTTGCTCATGTCTTGGTTATAAACAACCCCCCCCCTCTACAGAGTTGCAGACATTTACCGGTTTTATTGGCATGAAATCTGCAGGCAAGTGTGGTGAGGAAATGGCCATACCAAATCCTGATGGGTCCCTGGGGGAGAAACAACTGAAGGGAGAGAAGCTGCTGTGGAAAACAGCAAGTGGGAGTAAGGCAGCACTGCAAGCAGGACATGGGAATAAAAGGAGTTTCCTGTGAAGAATTCTCAGGAAGAAGATGCAAGATGAGTGAGCTAAAAGATTAAATGGCAAACAATGAAAATTGCTGTGAAGAACCAATCTGGTATTCTATCAAGCAGGTGAAAGTTGAGTGATGATACAGCTTTTGAAAACCATGAACCAACAGATGGCAATTTGGGAGCCACCTCCCTTTCTGCTCAGGAAACCCTGACCAAAAGAGAAATGAACTGAGGTACAGAGCTCAAATCTTTCTTCAGGAAAGGCACCCAGGAGGTAATTCAGCAGGATGTCTGGCAGCACCCCCTGACACTGCTCCACAGAAGAACCAGCACCCTTTAGCAGTACTCAGAACAAGGATGCACATTTCCCCAAACCCCATATCCTTAGGGACACAATGAAGATTGAATTATTGGCACTGCTAACACTGCTGGCATGAGAAATTCCCTTATCAGAGTTCAGCAACAGAGTCCACATCCCTCAGGCTGTAGATCAAATGCTCCAGGGAAATGCTGACAATAAAGCAAGTCTTTCCTTCCCCTCTGCTTCTTGGGAATCATCAAATAGAGCAGAAAAGAAAGCAATGGATCC